CAATGTAACATTATTTCAACCAAATTGTAACATTGTATCCTCCAAAAACTTATTTGAAACCTTAAAAGTAGACACTTTAGTTACATTTAACGTGCTTTCTATGGACATAAAATCACTTTTGTTCATTTCTTTTGATGCGGACATCTTAACGTCTTTGACCCATGTATACTGTAGACTTGATTGGAAACACCAAATTTACATGAGAACAACGAAGAACTCAATTCTCACAGCAAGTGAGAAAAATGAACAAGCCACAGGAGTTTGATGCTATCAGTCAAACTCAACACATCTGAAAACAGCTGAGTGATCTCGTGGTTGATTGATAAGGAAGTTTCAGTCGTACTGAGCTCACGATGTCTCACACTTCAACACTTACGAGAAACGGACAGAACGCAGACAAGCCTCTGCTAGCTTCAGCTCAGTTTACACCTGATAAATGAGACCTCACTGCCTTAATAGTAGCGTCCGCTAAGGTAAGAATCACTGTTAATATTGCAGATACAGTAGTCAACATTTGAAGTGGATCAAACAAGTTCATCAAAGTTGCTCTAAGACGAGAACGCATTTTGGTTTTAGGCTTTAGATGAAGGTTTTGATCCACTGTAGTTAGGGTTATGGGTTTGTATTAAACATCAGTAACTTGTAGCACAGCGTTTGTTCTCTTTGATTCCTCAAATCATGTGTCTTGTTAAACATTAAAACGTTAATGGAAATAAAATGAAAAAAAAAAAAAAAAAAAGTAAAATTATTTTATGTTTTTGTCAAGATAACAATATAAAATAAATAAAAATAAAATGAATGAATTAAAACCAAAATAAAAACTATATTACAAGAAAATGACAAAAACAACAAAAATTACTAAAACTTTCATTAAAAATAAAATGAAAAAATATAGCTAACTAAAATCAGAAAAAAAGAAAATGTAATTATTAGAAATGAACGTTAATGGAAATAAAATGTAAAAAAAGAAAAGAAAAAAGTAAAAAGTACAATTATTTTATTTTTTTGTCAAGACAACAAAACAAAAGAAACAAAATAAAAATAAATAAAAATTAAATAAATGAACTAAAACCAAAATAAAAACTTATTTTACAGAAAATTACAGAAAAAGAAAATGTAATTGTTTGAAATGAACGTTAAAGGAAATCAAATGCAAAAGAAAGAAAGAAAAATACTTATAAAATAAAATAACTAAAAACCAAATGAAAAACTATATGACATTTTAAAAAACCTAAACAAAAATGACTAAGACTTTAACTAAAATTGTTATATAAATATATATATATTGTTTATAAAGACTGTAATAGTATCTTAATGATACTAAAATAACACTGGAGGAATCGCACAGAATTTTCCAACACGTTTACATGAGCAAACGCTGCTCATATTTTCTTCAAAATAAATAAAGAATTAAATTCTAATATGTTGGTAAGTTGTCAAAGAAAGTATCATTTAAAAAAATACCTCTGCACTCAAATGAGCCTAGACCTCATGAAGTATTCACATTTTCTGAACTGCATATGCAATAAACAAAGTCAGTAAATCAGTGCAGCAAACTATATTTAGATTGTAGTTTCATGCTGTCCATTAATGTTGCAATCAAATCGAAAGGCAGAGTCAAGCTTAAACCCTCCCACTGATAGGTTAAAGCACAGAAACACTCCCCCGGTGAGTTTTTACACTCCATCAGCGCCAAAGCTCTCAGATCTAAAGCTCTCGGAGTCAATGCATGCAAGTCGACCACAGCCTTGTAAGAAGGTAAGACACACTCATAAATCTCAACTATAACTAATCTGTTAGACTCTAAATGAATAAGCACAAAATCAGTCGTGTCAGAGAATTTAGGTTCGCTGAAAGGCTCTCGTGGAGCAAACGTGTTCTAGATGAGCAGCGCTGTAGGTGTGTTCGCATACCAGGAATGCGTTATGGATGTGTGTAAACAGGTTGTGAATGGGAGGACGGCTTTGGGTGAAATAACGCTACGCCTTCAGGTGATAAAGTTAACATTCCTGCGACTCACTGTTCCTAGGAACACGCACAGCATCACATCGCATGACCTCTAAACTTCACCTGTATCTGCTAGTGCACTGCAAAGGTGTTCGGTCACTGATAAAGCACTGATGAGGTAATTCTGTATCAAAAGAGTCCCCTATCAAGTCCCTAGATATGGGATTTTTCGCCTGTATTCTGGTCAAACAAGTAAAAATTGTGCATCTGGTCACTCTCAGATGATCTGCAGAATCATTCATGTTTGCAGCTCACATGCTGCACTAATGCAACTTTAGCATTTAAAGTGACAGTGCATCTAAAAATTTTAATTGTGACCCTGGAGCACAAAACCAGTATTAAGTGTCAATTTTTCTAAATTTGAGATTTATGCATCAGCTGAAAGCTGAATAAATCAGCTTTCCATTGATGTATGGTTGGTTAGGATAGGACAAGATTTGAAAATCTGGAATCTGAGGGTGCAAAAAAATCTAAATATTGAGAAAATCATCTTTAAAGTTGTTCAAATGAAGTTCTTAGCAATGCATATTACTAATCAAAAATTAAGTTTTGATATATTTATGGTAGGAAATTTACAAAATATCTTCATGGAACATGATCTTTACTTAATATCCTAATGATTTTTGGCATAAAAGAGAAATGTATAATTTTGACCCATACAATGTATTGTTGGCTATTGCTACAAATATACCCCAGCGACTTAACACTGCTTTTGTGCTGCAGGGACACATATGTGTAATTTATTCACCCTCAAGTTGTTCCAAACATGAATGAATTTCTTTATTTCTGTTGAACACAAAAGAAGATATTCTGAAAAATGTTTTAATGTCTCTTTTGATGAGGATTGTATGATCTCTGTATAATTAATATCAGTCTTTAAATGCAAGATATTTAAAGTGTACCTTCCAATAGTTCCACTTTAGCACAATCAAATATACTTATCTTTAGTAGGACTTGAGCACAATTAAAGTGCATTAAGTACAAAATGAGTCGTTCCAATTTATCAATACTAAGTATACTTAGCACACAAAATAAATGGATTTCAAATACATTTTAGTATTTTTTCAGTAGGGTAGGCATTGACTTCCATTGTATTTTGGCTACCAGCAACTGTTTGGTTACCAAAATTCTTCAAAATATCTTATTTTGTTTAGAGGTTTGAGCACATCACTAGGTTTATTATTTTTACATTTCTACACCATTTTAATCTGTGGGCGGTTGCACAGACTGCTTAGACTAGTCTTACAAGTTTTTCTTTAAGACTGGTCACGACTTTTATAAGTCAGTTACATAATGTAGACTGGTCTGAAAAGACTGATTAACCCTCGGTTAACTGCGAGTTGGTCAAACTAAAGTCAAACTCCAAGTTAAGTCTTAAAGGGACAGTTCACCCAAAAATGTAAGTTCTGTCATCATTTACTCACACTTGTATCGTTCCCAAACCTACATGAGCTTCTTTCTTCTGTTGAACAATTACTTTTGTGTTGAGCAGAAGGAAAAAACTCGTACAGGATTGGAACGATGTAAGTGTGAGTAAATGACAGAACTTTCATTTTTGGGTGAACTGTCCCTTTAAGATTGTGGTTGTGTTTATGCAACCGCACAATGTTTGTTCTCCCTTACGGTGTATTTTAGTAGCCGTAGTGTAGTTTTTAATGCCATGTCAGCAACTGAGGCTACTTTCATGGCAAGAAACGAGTTATATATATACAGTAACTATAAAAATATAAACTATTAAAAAAGGTAACACTTTAGTATAAGGACCAATTCTCAGTTGCTTATTAGCATGCCTGTTATTATCATATTGCTTGTTTATTAGTACTTATAAAGCATTTATTCTACATCTAAATACCTAAACTTAACAACTACCTTATTATTAATAAGCAGCAAATTAGTTTAGTGAAGCAAAGGTCTGTTAATAGCGAGAATTGGACCTTATATTGAATAAAAATGTTGCCTAGTTGCATTAAAACCAGGAGAGTCTAATAAAGCATGTTTAATGGAAAGTCTTGCAGAACATGCAAGTTGAGTCTTCGCCTTCCAGCAGAAATGCATGCATGTCCTAAATGACATCTGGTGACCTAAAGTGTGTTTTTATTCATATAGCACCTACTTTAAATAATGCAGAAAGTATTGTGACAAGGCCATACTTGATTTCATTGAAAAAGCGTTTCGTAATGCTTCTGAAAAGAGGAAACTGCATGCAACTTCCTTTATTTTATGGCCAGAGAACAAATAGATGTGTTTCTCAAGCATAACGAAATGCTTTCCATGAACATGCACCGCGTGTTTTCGAGCAGACTGCACACGTTTCGCTGACAAAAAAAATATGCATCATAATTTGTGTCAACGACATTTTTTCAGACGATCACAGAATAAAAACTCTTATCGAATTAATAAAACATAATTCAGAAAATCTACTGACAGATTTGACGAGTATTCACGGTTACGTCTTAAAGAATATCGGCAGTATATTGATAGTTTTAATATACAGTAGTTATAGTTTTAAAGGGGCAGCAGCCTCATTTAGTTACTGTTGTCTGTGTCCCTTTTGTTAATGAATCAACAAAACAAAGAGAGAAAATCACTCACAGCACTTTAGTAGCCCTAATAAGGATTGAAGAATGAAGGATGCTGTATGCAAGTTGTTATAAAGAATGCATATTATATAACCATTGATATTTCATTGGAAAGAGGACCATGTTCTTGTTTCTTTATGAGAAGTGGTTTTATTTAATTTTGAGATCAAGACAAGTCTATATTGCATGTTCAAATCTTAATATCATTCATACTACCAGGTTAATAGATGTTTTCTCCGAGATATATATTAGTGCTGTCAAAATTAGCGCATTAACGCAGGCGATTAATTTTTTCAGTTTAACTCGTTAAAATATTTAATGCAATTAACACAGGGGCGGAGCTATGGTTGGCCACTCCACTCACAACTACTGCTTCTGTCACTTTTTCTCTTGACAAAAGTACATTTAAAAACGGTACTGTGCTCGAAGCGAGTGCTCTTCAATTGCACGCACAAAGGCACCGGCGCACGCTGTAGTCTTTATCATTTCATATCAAATTGCGAAATAAACTACGTGCATGCAATGTCGTGGTCAGTTAAGTCATGACGTTACAAAAAGGCGACTAAAGCTGCCTTAAAACTGTGCATGTATGTAATATATTTTATATGAGTCACATTTAAGAACAGTCTCACTCATCTAACACACCCGATTTAACTCGTCAGCTCATTAATAGAGACTTTAAGACCTGAAGTGGGTCAGAAAAGGTCAAAAGAGTTGAGAGAAAATACGATGAGTGTCAGATCCGTGTCACGTTCAGCAGCCGCTCTTAAAGTAATAGCAGCCAAAACAACCTAATAACCAGCTGCTGTGATGTCTGTTCATCAAAGGACAAAGAAGAAAAAAAAAAAAGAGGAAAAATAACTTTTATAGCTTTAAGGATTCATCTATATTTAATTTAGGATTTAGTTTTTTGATAACTTCAATTTCTGTATATTTCTGCTGAAGGGCACGGGTAAATATGACATTTATTATAATGGGTTTATGTGAAGATTGTTTTAAAGTTCACTTAAATTAGAAGTTATATTTTTGAAGTCTAATAAATGTTAAACATTATAGCTCTCAATTATACTGTAATGCTGAATGGCTAGCCAATGGTTAAATATTGGGGGGGGCAATTTTATAGAGACATCAGTATTATTGGTATCAGTGATACTGGCCTTCAGTCATAAAAAAAAGATGCCATTAAACAAATATACTGTCTTTATGTTGTTTGTACATTAATTTGAAGATTTAATGTGAAATTATTGCAATATAAAAGTATATTTAAAAAACGTTAATGTTAGGTGGAATTAATCGCGTTTAATTTCAGAAAAATGTGCGATTAATTAGTCATTTTTTTAAATCAATTGACAGCACTAATATATATATATATTAACTATGCCATGTATAATTATATACAACTATAGCGCGTCTATTTTTAAACAGGAGATTTAAATAAGTTCCCGGGTTCGTAGGAACACAGAACTCGCTTCTTCACTGTGAATAAATCGCCATCCGAATCCATGAGTTTAGAGGTGATATGTAAATTTATTTCTACAGACATCCATATGATAAACAACTGTGACCCTGGAGCACAAAACCAAAAAAAAGGTACAAAAGCTGTCACTGTGGCGGTGCACTTTCAAAAGGTTCACTTTGTACCTTTTGTGTGTTCACACTTGTCATGTTTGGTTGTTTTTTACAAGTGTGAACGCATCCTTAGATACTACTATGTACATTGTAGGTATTAATTTGGTACTAAAATTGACTTTTTAGGTACAAATGTGTACCTTCTGAAGAGGTGCCGCCCCAGTCACAGCTTTTGTACCTTTTTTTCCTGAAAGTGTACATAGAAGGTTTTCACCCAGAATATTACCAAAACATTTAAAACAAGAGCCAATCTGTAACTGATATGATTGTTTTAATCCAGGATTTAATTGCGTTGCATAGTAGCACTTGCATTTTAGGAACTTAAGAGCAAATGAAAGGCTTTCTGGTCATTTAAGGCTTAAATTTAGCATAACTACTATTATGCAATAGTAATGTACCCTACATAGAAAGTTTTCAATATTAAGTATAGATCATGTTCCATGAAGATATTTTGTACATTTCCTACCGTAAATCTCAACTTAATTTTTGATTAGTAATATGCATTGCTAAGAACTTCATTTGAACAACTTTAAAGATGATTTTCTCAATATTTAGATTTTTTTGCACCCTCAGATTCCAGATTTTCAAATATTGTCCTATCCTAACAAACCATACATCAATGGAAAGATTATTTATTCAGCTTTCAGATGATGTATACATCTCAATTTAAAAAAATCGACCCTTATGACTGGTTTTGTGCTCCAGGGTCACAATTGTGGTCCGAATAGGGCTTACAACTATAACTAAAATGTGCTGTCTAAATGAACACTGATGTGAATTTTCCCCTGTATTTCCACAGAGACCCAATGTCTACCCCAGCGCCGAACACCTCCAACCACACCAACTCCACCGTGTACCCCAGCGAGGGCATGCGCGTGCTGCAGATGGCGGTGACCGTGATGATCTTCATCGTGGGCGTCTCTCTAAACGCTCTGGTGGTCTGGGCGCTGGGGGTTCGAGTTTGGTGCCGCAACAGAGGAGTGACCGGCGAAACGCAGACCGCCGACAGCTTCCGGATCTACGTGGTGAACCTGGCGCTGGCGGATTTGGTGCTGCTGTTACGGACGCCGCTTATGCTACCCTACTTAGCGAACCACTTCACTTGGACGTTGGGGGAGCCTGTGTGCAAGCTGGTGATTTATTTGCGATGCCTGGGATTGTACGCGAGCGCGTTCTTGCTGTGCGCCGTCGCGGTGGAGCGCTGCTTGTGTCTCCTCAGACCAGTTTGGGCTCGATTGAGACGCCCTCGTTGGGTCGTGCCACTGGCTTGCGCCGCAATATGGGTGTTGGCGGCGGTTTTCGCCGTTCCATACATCGAAACAGCCAAAGTCATTCTCTGGGCAAACCGTGAGGCTTGCATTGAAAGCGATTTGGGAGTAGGGCAAGCTTTAAACGTGTTGGAGACCGTGGCGGGATTCTTGCTACCTTTGGTGATATTCTTGTCGTGCAATATCGCCGTGATATTTTGCGCAAAGAAAGCCGAGAGCACAATGTCTTCCCCAACCTCGCCATCCGGACCGGGTTACACAACCCACCGTCTGACCCGTCTCTATCGTGTACTCTTCCTCACCATGCTCCTCTTCCTCACCTGCTGGGTGCCGTACTTCACCTGAAAAGTTTTTGTTTACATAATATATGTCTGTGTACTGTGTATATTTATTTTTCTATATATAAATACACACACATACACATGCATGGATATATTTAAGAAAAATATGTTAAGTTTATATATTTAATATATTTATATATGATATAATTGATATGAATTTAAATATATACACGTAAATGCATGTAAATATTTTCAAAATATGCTGTATGTGTGTGTCTTTAAATATACACAGTATACACACATATATTATGTAAAAAAAACTTTAATCTTTAATCACGATTAATCGTTTGACAGCACTAAAATTTTTATTTATTTTATTCCGTGGTAGAAATGGACTTCTATAGTAAACAAATACTAACAAATAAATATTTTTAAATTCATGCGTTACAGTAATGTGAAAATTGCTTAACTGTCAAATAAATAAATTTATAATGCAAATAAACTTAAGCCCTATGAACAAAAACATTCTAAAACCTAATATGTGTCCCTGGAGCACAAAAGCAGTGTTAAGTCGCTGGGGTATATTTGTAGCAATAGCCAACAATACATCGTATGGGTCAAAATTATACATTTTTCTTTTATGCCAAAAATCATTAGGATATTAAGTAAAGATCATGTTCCATGAAGATATTTTGTAAATCTCCTACCGTAAATATATCAAAACTTAATTTTTGATTAGTAATATGCATTGCTAAGAACTTCATTTGAACAACTTTAAAGATGATTTTCTCAATATTTAGATTTTTTTGCACCCTCAGATTCCAGATTTTCAAATATTGTCCTATCCTAACAAACCATACATCAATGGAAAGCTTATTTATTCAGCTTTCAGATGATGCATAAATCTCAATTTCACAAAATTGACCCTTATGACTGGTTTTGTGCTCCAGGGTCACATTTATCATTAATTTGACTTTGTGCTTAAATATGACTTCTTCAAAGTTAAGTGAGTAATCTTGACTGTAGTTCATTGGATTGTGTATTGTGATGTACCTGTAGTGTCGGCTGTAGAGACGGTAAAGCGGGAAGACGCAGGACCGTCTGTTCTGACTGCTGCAGAAACTGGAACAGATCAGAGTCAAACACCAGGATTAAACCGTCTCTGGCTGTTCAAGTGAAACCATCAAATCTGTATGAACCTCATGTGCCTTGTCCTCTTCCTCGTCTAGTTTGCGTCTCATTATCCTGCATTTCTCCTCTAAACCATCCATCCGCACCTCCATCACCTCCAGAGTGCTAACAATCGAACTCGTGTTCTCCTAAACACACAAAGGGTTCATGAGCGGCTGTGTCACGAACAGCTGATCATCTTAATTCATGCTCGTTCATCCAGGCTTTCTGCAGGATTTTTAAGCTCAAATTTAAGACCTGCACAAATAAAATTTATAAAGCGAATAGTTCCGGTCCTTGATTCTGATTGGTTGAGCCGCGTTCGAAATTTACAACAGCTTCGAATGCGGCTCAGCCAATCAGAATCAAGCACCGGAACTATCCGCTTTATAAATCATAATTAAGACTTTCTTGTACATTAAGACGTTTTAAGACTTTCTGTCATCACCTCTAGAGCCTCAAGCGTCTTCCTGCCATGCTCGGACTTCGTCCTCTCTGCTTTGAACTGACGGGACACGTGCATAATGTCTCCATGCTTCCTCGGGGGAACAGAAAGCTGTGCACACTTAGCCAGGAACCTACGAAAACAGAGTTCGGCGCCTGAGATGCTGTGGAAGAACAAAAGGAGATGTTTGGCAGAATGTCTCTTACTGATCTTTGAGGAGGTTGAGATGCTTCTGCGATTCTTCTTTTTCTTTGCTTTTCAATGCCAGTACAGACCTGAGTCAAAAGCATGCAAAAACATCACACTCAGAGCGTAATGATGAAGCAATCTGCACACACGTGTAATTATTGCGTAACACGTTACTCACAGCATGGACAAACCGAGCATGTTCTCCAGAGCCAGCAGGGAAGATTTGGTCAGCGGCTTCCAGTTTCCCTTACTCTTACTCTTTCCAGCCATCACTGAGGTGTTAATAGAAAATCAGAGGAGAAGAAAAAGACCACAACAGACCATTATATTCAGACATAATACAGAATTTGAAAGAAATAATTCAGCTAAAAATGCCAATTCTGTCATCTCAGACCTCATTCATACGTTCACATTAAGCATGCACTTTTTTAGAGATCTTCATAATTGATTTTCCTTCGAATTAATCGTTTAATCAATCAACACGAATACAAACAGACACATTTTTGATTGCGTTTCGGAAATACTATTATCAATTGAACCAGCTTTTATATTTTCTGATACATTTTTAATTTTTAGTACTTTTGTTTGTTGTGTTTTTGTCATTTTTAGTATTTTATGTTTTTCTTGTATGTCTAGTTTTTTATTTCAGTTTTAGTTTGATATTTTAGTGCACTAAATTAAATGTTGAAATAATGTTTTATTTTATTTCAAGTCACAAAAATGCTTTGTATGGTTCTAATTTTAGTTTTAGTTAACTATAATAACAATGTAAATGTAAATATAAGAGCATTTAAATAGATTAATGTTTGGTATTATTAATGTTATAGTGTATATAGAAAATAAAGCTGGATTTTTTTTTTTTCCAAGGAAGATTTATTTTATGGATTGAACAATATTTCCAACATCACTTTTGAGTTTGCACTTTAAATTATGTTTAATGTGTGAACGGTGCAATAGTAAAAAATTTTTAGTTGATATATTCAAACTTCCTGAAGCCCATTTGATTTGGTTTTTAATGATATTCAGTGACTAACAATTTAAATTTCAGGGATTTAAATTTAATATCATAAAAGGACTGTTTATGATACTTTATGGCACTTCCTTTTTCGTTTTACAGAAGAAAGCCATACGAGTTTGAAACAACATGTGCGTGTGTTAGAAAATAATGACACAGAGAAAAGAGGACACAGAGGCTTTTCAGTAGCCCATTGTTTTGTTTGGCAAACTTCCAGAAAGAAGAAACTCAGCAGGTTGACAAATGAGTTTCAGAATAACCTCACCTTACGCAACGAGTCTGCAAATGCATTCAAGTACAGACATCTCCCATCATTTCTCAACTTACCGCTGTGTTTGTTCGACGGCTCCGGATGTGGGCCTTCAGCTCTGGGTTTCGACGTCTGGAAGAAAGCGTTGAGCATGTTTATACAGTAGCTTTCATTATTTTTATCATATGTGACCCTGCAGCACAAAACCAGTCAATTTTTCAAAATTGAGATTTATGCATTATCTGAATAAAGCTGGATAAATAATCTTTCCATTGATGTATGGTTTGTTAGGATAGGACAATATTTGAAAATCTGGAATCTGAGGGTGCAAAAAAATCTAAATATTGAGAAAATCATCTTTAAAGTTGTCCAAATGAAGTTCTTAGCAATGCATATTACTAATCAAAAATTAAGTTTTGATATATTTACGGTAGGAAACATACAAAATATCTTCATGGAACATGATCTTTACTTAATATCCTAATGATTTTTGGCATAAAAGAAAAATGTATAATTTTGACCCATACAATGTATTGTTGGCTATTGCTACAAATATACCCCAGCGACTTAACACTGCTTTTGTGCTGCAGGCTCACATATATGTTGAATGAAATCTAATACTTGTTTCTTGCTAATTCTGGGCTGCTCGTTCCAAAGAAATAGTGCCTGCTTCACTGGACTTTCTCATAAAATATCTTGCATTTTGTTTCATTTTTGCTTTCCACAACCATACGAGTGATGAATAAGTCTTGTTTCATCTCTTAATCGGCAGAAAAACACCATAAAGACACGATTTGTGTCTTCATCTGAGCCAGATTACAACTATTTGTTCAATTCTCAGCCACATGTATGAAGTTTCAACGTTTTTAAGACCAAGGAAATTTAAGAAAGAAATTTAATACGTCAAGTGTAAATGTTTCCTATGGACCTCAATAATGTCTTAATAAATTGTCTTGAGAAACTGATCAAAATTAAGTGTTTATGACTAAAACAAGAACAAATATCTGCCAGCTGGCTTAGAAAAATCAACTTAACTCAAAAGAGAAACAAGTTTTCGTTCTCCACTGACAGATATTCATTCTTGTTCTCAGAATAAACTTAATTTTGCTCCATTTCTCCGAAAACAAGTCTTCATATGTTAATTTTGCATCTCCACTAAATGTGTCTTAGTAATGGAAAACAAGACAGAAATACTGAGGAAGATATTCAACATTTAATGCCATGACTTTAAACATTCTTCTCCAATTTAAGACCTTTTTAGGCCTTAATTTGTATAATCATTGCTGTTGATAGTTTTTACCGTACGTTTAATATTATATTAATCAGAAAAAAAAATACTTTTGCGCCAATAACAGTATTTTCCAGATGCACTTTAGAAGCGACAGTATAACAAGAGATCAAATTTAAAATATATCAAATTATTATTTTGCTATTAAATCTAAAATCAGGAAAGCTATTTTATTGATAAATGAATTTGACATTGTATGCATGCATTTGGGGATGTTAGTAATTGTAAATTGGGACATAAATAAGTAACACTTTATTTTAAGGTGTCTTTGTTACACGTTACATTTAAATTAAGCATAATTACACGCAAGTAACCCTAAGCCAAACCCTAGTAAGCACATGTAGTTAATTAATATTACTCAGTACTTAAATGTATAATTACACTGTACCAAAGACACCTTAAAATAAAGTTTAACCCATAAATAATATACATAAAGAATTAGTATATGTATATTAAGGTTTTTTTTTTTTTTAATAAAAGGCTTCAATGGCTAAATAAATAAATATATGATGAATATTAATCATAATAAATCTGAGTTTGTTCAGTTGTGTCTCACTTTATGAGTCTTGTGTGTGTTCCTGTCTGTGGCTCCTCTGGGGCCCCGTGTGGAGGCCCTTCCGGACCCTCGGGCTGGTTTCATCATGAAGAGCTGCACAGAAAAACACAAACGGAGTCAGAGAGTGTGAGTGTGCAAAAACCTCAAGCTAACAGTTCAACTACACTACCAGTCAACAGTTTCTGAACAGTAAGATTTTTAATGTTTTTAATGTAAATTTGATCCAAAGTTCAGTAAAATTCTGAAATATGTTTACTATTCAAAATAGCTGTTTTCTCTGTGAATATCTGTTAAACTGTAATTTATTTCTGTGATGCGCAGCTGTATTTTCAGCATCATTACTCCAGTCTTCAGTGTCACATGATCTTCAGAAATCATTCTAATATGCTGATTATTAGAAACATTTCTGATTATTATCAATGTTGAAAACAGTTGAGTGCATTTTTTCAAGATTCTTTGATGAACAGAAAGTTCAGAAGAACAGCATTTATCTGAAATAGAAATCTTTTGAGTGTCTTTATCATCACTTTTGATCAATTTAAAGCATCCTAGCTAAATAAAAGTATTAATTTCTATCATTTCTTTCCCCAAAAAATTAAAAATGATACGGACTCCTAGCTTTTGAATGGTGGAGTGTATAATGTTACAAAAGCTTTTTATTTCAGATAAATGCTGATCTTTGGATCTTTCTATTCATCAAAGAATCCTGAAAATGAATTATAATAATAATACCAACCAAGAAATGTTTCTTGAGCAGCAAATCAGCATATTATAATCACGTGACACTGAAGACTGGAGTAATGATGCTGAAAATACAGCTTTGATCACAGAAATAAATTACAGTTTAACAGATATTCACATAGAAAACAGCTGTTTTAAATAGTAAAAATATTTCAGAATTTTACTGTACTTTGGATCAAATTTACATTAAAAATCTTGCTGTTCAAAAACTGTTGACTGGTAGTGTACCTCTCTATAAAGACTGTAGAAATATCACCAATGTAAAACAAATTAATGACAACAACAAGTACCACAGCATCACAATGTATTGTTGTTGTTATTGTTAATAACGCTATTTTTTAGATAACGTACGCAGCACGGTTATACCATAGTATTCTTTGTATACTGTGCTATTCTTTATAGTACCATGGTATACGAATAAGGTAAATAGAAAACAGGGATCAACAGATTTTACTAAGTATAAAGTAAAAGAGAACAACGCGACGCGACGCGACGAATCTACACAACTTCGTTTATTTATAATGGAAGCCATTTGTTTTTATCGCGTCGCTCGCAGTATGGAAACAGCAGCTGCTTTCTCACTAAAAGTACATACAAACTGATGAGAAGAACAAGGACAACTGTAACGATAAATGTGGTGAGCTTAAAACAAACAAAGCTCGCTAATTAATCGTGTATGTACGACACTTCTACACGGACAGCGTCTTCTTCTTTAATACTCACCGGATTCGCGCCACACGGTTCAAGGCGCGAACTGAAGTGCGCATGCGCATGCGCATACACTTCCTGTTTATTAACTTTATTGCGTTGATTTGTACATTAAATATTACATTTTTAAATAAACAAATATTTTATATAAAATAAAATAGAGTAGACCGGAAGCTTATTTTCGCTCCGGGAAAAAAAACAAAAAAAGTAATTTAGACTTTTTTTCTCACATTTCTGAGTTCATATTTGGCAGTTTATAATTTCTAGGCATAAACTATCAGAAGAAAAGTCTGAATTATGAGACATAAACTCACAACTGCGAGAGAAAAAATTCAGAATCGTGAAATAAAAAATAAAAGATTATTGCGAAATTGTATGTTTTATTCCATGGTGGGGAAAAAAACAGAAAAAGTCAGAATTGTGAGATATAGTTTTTTTTTCTTTCAGTATTTTAATCCATGATGGAAACAAAGCAAAAAGGAAGATGTTAACTCAGAATTCAGACCAAAAAAACATTAAATCTAAATTGTAAGATTTAAGAAAAAACTCGCAACTACTTATTTATAACTTTAAAATTGCAAGACACAGATTCAAAGTTCTGAAAAAAATTGTGAGATATAAAAAATAATAATATTACCTTTTTTATTCTGTGGCAGAAATACGCTATTATGGAGGACCAAACCTGCAGAAATTAAAAATAAATAAATAAGCAAATAAATAAATAAATGTGTGTATAAATAAACGTATTCTTGTTTAAATACATATATAAATAATTAAACGTGTGATGAAAGTATGCTTCATGTACAAAATTCAAAATAAAATCCAAAGAAATCATGTTTATTAAAAAAAAATTTTAAAAATAGATTTCCGAGAAAAAGTCAGAATTGTGAAATAATTATTTTATTATTAATTATTTTATGAAATGTTATTTTATTCCATTACGGTAACAGAAAGGTGAGATGTAAACTCAGAATTCTAAAAAAAAAAAAATTTTAAATGAAAAAATCGAAATTGCAAACAGACTCAACGTTCTAAGAAAATTATGAGATTTTAAAAAAAAAATAATAATTCTCAATTTCCCTTTTTTTATTCTGTGGCAGAAATACGCCATGCCTTCAACATAAACTGCAAAGAAATCATGTTTATTTGTCTTACATACTGGTCTTTAACATTTATACATCTGATAAAAGAATGCATGAAGTGAACAGGTGACCCCTCTATATTATCATAACCTTTCCAGAATGACACGCTTTTCGTTATCAAATCTGCAGAGTGCTGCAGAAGACGCCTGATAAGTGAAGGCCAGGCCCCTCAGAGCAGCAGATATCGATCAGGTGTGTATTAAAGCGCTCTGAATATCAGCGCACCACATCCTGGCCACGAGAAGAGCTGTTTTTCTTCATTTGTGCTGATGCTGCTTGTAGCCTCTTGTTTTTCAGTGCAAACTCTAAATGTTCTTAAAGGGATAGTTCACCCAAAAATTAAAATTCTGTCATTAGTTACTCACCCTCGTGTCGTTCCAAACCCGTAAGACCTTCGTTCATCTTCAGAACACAAATTAAGATATTTCTGATGAAATCCGAGAGCTCTCTGGCCCTCCGTAGACAGCAAGCATCCAAACACGATCAATGCTCAGAAACATAGCAAGGACATCCTTAAAATAATCCATAAGAATGCAAAAGGGGCTCAGCCAATCAGAATCAAGGACCGGAACTATCCGCTTTATAATGTCAATAAGCTTTACTTTGAAAACACCATACAGAAGTTTCAGAATACACAAAAGAAGTACATCAGATTGTTGATGGTTTCCACTGGAAAGTCTGTAGACATCAAAGCATTTATAAGCTCACTTTAACTTGTCTCTCCATCAGAAGACGTGATTGTTGTTGGGTCAAGCTCAAAGCTAGATGTCATGGTACAGTAGATCATATTTAGGGATGTTTCCCACAAACTTGGTATGATCTGGAGATCTAAATGGAAGTAAATCAAAGTCTGATATGAACAACTTCACTGAAACATCAGGATATTATGTCGCCGTCAAAATATGAAATATCTTAGAGTCTTGTGCATTAAATTGATCTTTCTCGTTTATCAACACTTCTTTGGAAACATCCGTTTCAGCAGAAGTTAATATTAGCTTACATAACTTCTCACTTTAACCACATATCCTGTGCTTGTACCTTGTTGCAAAAACATATCCTGTTTCCTTTTGACTCAGATGATTAATATTAAAATCAAACGCAGATGATTTGATCTTGCATTCTCTTAAACCCTATTCACAAAGCTGCTGAGACAAACTTGTACTGAAGAACAGAGAGAAGAAGTCTTAAACTCAGAGTAAGGGGGCGGGGTTTACCTCGTTGCTATGGATGACGTCATCATGCTTATTAACTATGCACACAGTGATTGGCTGACAGTCTCTGTTAGAGATTCATTCATAGAAATATTGAAGAGCGCGATATTATGTCGCTATATTCAAATAGAGGTTTAAAAATAATAATAAATAATAGATTTTAAAACGCAGGCTAAGTGTCACTAATTAAAGAAGTATATGTTCAGCTAATTGTCAGCCTCTTACATGTGTGCTTCTCATAATTAGTGAATATGCATCTAAACAGCCTTTTAATTAACAGAGTAGAATATAAATTACTTTGAAGTGAGGCTAAAGGGAGCGAGGATATCATTTCAGTTGATTCAATTCTTCCGTCCTCGCATCCTGAAGGGGGACTGGTGTACACTACCAGTCAAAAGTTTCTGAACGGTAATATTTTTAATGTTTTTTAATATGTGCGTGAACTCCAGCGGATGTTTACAAGCGTGTGGCGTACCGCTATATATGATCCGACTAGAAACGCATTCAATAGTTCCTACACTCTGTGCGCAACTCAACATAAATGTGTTATTACTCTTAGTGATATTACGTGTTTTACTATTTTAAATCACAGTAACAAAATTTCAAACGTTAAAAAAATATTTTAAAATATTCAATAACAGACAGCCCATTAAATAATAGACCAATGCCGATTTCCGCACGGTCAGCTTTTATTGTTGCACACCGACATCCACATGACAGCAGGCAGCGTGTGTCCTTCTGAGGGAACATCAGTGACTTCTGAGGGAACAAGCAGAGATACAGCTGACATGGTATGCTGGTTTTACTCATAATGAGTGTGAATGTGATTAAAGACGTAGAGAAGACCGGGGCTAGTTGTCACAAGTCTGTTATATATCAGCGTCACTCTCGAGTTTGATTCGTAAATACTTGACTTTTTGGGGTATTACTTTTGTGTGTTAGTGTTTACTGTTTCATGATTGTTTTACTGTTAAAATATTTCTCACATGTCTTTAAAATTAGCTTTTGCATTAATGCAGGTTTGCATTGTGACAACATGCCCCTTTAAGCTAAAGAAGAAGAAAAAAACCCGGCAAAACACAAAAATAAGAAATTATATTTTGCATACAGATGATGAAGCCTGATTTAGGGCCTTTGATTTGTTTTAATTTGACATTATTGTTTTCGTCACAATTTAAATATTTTCACACTATACTCGTTCAGAGTTGCAGAAAATGCCATCTCATTCTCATAATGAAAGTAAAAAAAAACAGCAATATTGTCATATTTCATCTCCAAATCAAAAGACAAAAATAAGAAATAAAATTTTGCATGAAGACTTTAAAGTCTGTTTTATCACAACAAACACATTTTTTGCACTAAATTCACATTTAAATATGTATTTATATAAATTGTGACCTTTAAAGTTTACAAAAAAAACTATATACATCATAATATGAAAAATACATAACATGTATTATACTGTGTGTGTGTGTGTGTGTATATATATATATATATATATATATATATATATAGTGACTTAATGTATGCAATAAAAAAATATAATAATATAATTATAATATATGTATTATGTTTATATAAATTGTGGCTTTTAAAGTATGCAAAAAAATTAAACTAATCAATAAACTATATATATTTAGGGTTGAAAAGGGGTGGAAAATTTCTGATACATTTCCGGAAACTTTCCACACAAAATATCATACATTTTCCCCTGATTTACAGAAGAGACCCACTAAAATGTCATTCAGTGTAACAATCTTGTCAGGCATATTTACAACAAACAAACATAAATTTATGACATATTAAAAGACAAATTACTTTCACTCCAAATACTAATTAGTCGTAATTTTACATTTTTAAAATGTGCCACTATCCTAGGTTTTGCCCATTTGTCAGTAAGAATTTTTTACTCATTTAAAACACAATCAAATGTAATATGCTCTCTTATTCTTTTATATATTTTAACATGTACACGTCAGAATAAGCATGTTTGAATTTTTACATAAATATTGTGTCACACTGAATGACAATGTAACATTATTTCAACCAAATTGTAACATTGTATCCTCCAAAAACGTATTTGAATCCTTAAAAGTAGACGCTTTAGTTACATTTAATGTGCTTTCTATGGACATAAAATCACTTTTGTTAATTTCTTTTGATGCGGACATCTTAACGTCTTTGACCCATGTATATTATGTTTATATAAATTGTAACTTTTAAAGTATGCAAAAATTTTTTTTAAACTAATCAAACTATATATATATATATATATATATATTTAGGGTCGCAAAGGGGTGGAAAATTTCTGGTAAATTTCCGGAAAATTTTCAAAAATCCCTGGAATATTACAAAAAAAAATAAATCCTGGAATGTTTTCGAAATTTACTGGAAATGTTCCACCTTTTTGCAACCCTATATATATTCATATATAAGTATCATGGTATACAAAAAAAAAAAATCATAATATATATTTATGTAAACTGTGATTTTTAAAGTATCCACATTCAGCATAAAGCAAATATACACATTTGTTTTTAATAATTTAATGTTTGTGTCTGTGTAGAAATGAAGCTATAAATGCACCCGAGGAATGTTGAATGTATCACAGCTCTATGCTTCACCTTTCCGCAGGTGTTCCTGTGCCGCAGCAGGTGATGATGTTCCTGCGCTCGTGTTCAGTGGCACTGAGATGCTTCAGAAGTCCCCGCGTCTCCATCAGAGTCTTCAGCTCCAGCCGCAGCGCCGGGAAAGAAAGCGCTCTGGATCTGGACTCCTGGAAGACGGTGATGAGGTCTCAAGCGCTGCGGGAGGAGAGCGAGAGCAAGAGTCCGAGTCGCTCAGCGCTGGAGGATAACCGCGAGCTGGTGGAGATGTGGCATCAGGCGGGAAAGTTCGTTCCCAGGAACATCACAGACGAGCAGCTGCAGGATCTCGCTCGGCTCGCAACCAGATCCGCCAAGAAGAAATACCTGAAGTTCCTGGCCATTAAAGAGTCACACAAGATCTCCAAGAAGGAGGAGCAGGAGAGGAAGAAATCCCAAACTGAGACTTTTAAAGTATGCAAAAATTATTCAATAAACTATATTGTGACCCTGCAGCACAAAAGCAGTGTTAAGCCGCTGGGGTATATTTGTAGCAATAGCCAACAATACATTGTATGGGTCAAAATTATACATTTCTCTTTTATGCCAAAAATCATTAGGATATTAAGTTAAGATCATGTTCCATGAAGATATTTTGTAAATTTAATACCCTAAATATATAAAAACTCAATTTTTGATTAGTAATATGCATTGCTCAGAACTTCTTTTTCTCGATTTTCTCAATATTTCGAGATACCCTCAGATTCCAGATTTTCAAATAGTTGTATCTC